TAGATAACCCCCTACTGTTATCGACTACTGGACTATATTGGATTACTTTGCTGAATTCATGCACCTACATTATATTAATGGCAATAGAATACCCATCTCTGAGAAAATAAACAAAAAAAGGGGATATAAATGAAGGACCATTTTGTAGTGAAAAAAATATATATATATATTTGTATATACAAAATAGTATACATATACAGCTATTGTCTCCTGGTTTAGTGAGAAGAAAGTTTTGAATAGTATTTAGACAGTATATTATGTCTGCATCTTGTACTATGAATAACTACTACAAAAAGAACAATATGCAATGTATTAATATTTGTAACTGTCCTACTTACCTGTTTTGAAAATGTCTCATTTCTATTTCTTTCTTAATAAAATTAATATAAAAAGAAAGCAAAATGAGTGTCATTGTAAATTAGAGGTAAAATGGAAAAAGAAGCTATCACCAGTGACTTTGGAAATTCTATGACATCCTCACACCATCTGATAATTATTGATGTTCCTCCAACAGCACATAACTTTGATCCCATGGAAAATTTTATGTTAAAAATATTCAGTGTTGTATTTTAATGTGAATGAGACAACTGTGAGCAATTTCAGTCGAAATTAGTGTATTCTGGCTATTCTGCAGCTGAATGTGAAATTTGTCAAGAGATTTTCATGTACTTCATAATTCTTGTTTTTAAAATTAGCACAACCTGAATATTGAAACTGTGAAAAACATCTTTGTTCAACTTAAATAGACTTAATAACAAGAAATAGTTAAAGACTCGAGTATTTTGTGGTATACAAAGCAGCCTCACCTCATTAAAAACTGAGATCACTCCTTTTATTTTTCACTGGATGCTATGTGTTCCTGTTGACTACTTTTCTCTATGCATGCATTTCATTCCTTTATCCTCTGCAATTTGTCTTGCTTGCACTTGTACACATACCCAAATCTTCATACTTAATACAGTTTTTACAGCTACATGCAGAGACCAATTCTAAATTAATGACAAAATAAATAGATGAAGCTAGCTTAAAGTAAGAGTAATCTCTGCTCTGATCATCTCTGACCAGGGGTGTAGGGTCATATGATATATATATGGTTGCTTGCCAAGTCCTCTTTTGTTCTCAAATAAATCATTATAAATAGGACATAAAGTACAAAACCAGTCAATTATATCAGCCTATACATCAGTGTAAGTTACTATGTTCTTTCATACATGCACAATCTTAAAGCATGAAGTTATAACTAAATGGCAACACGTGGACTAGCCAACTATTGGATTTCCTTTTTGCTAAGTAATTTTTTCTCAATCTTTCCTCTGATTTCAACTTCATTATTCTGTAAATTGCAAACAATTCCAAAGATTTTCCTGTTCAAAGAGCAATACTATAGAAACTATTCTATGTATATAAACAACTGGAATTTATACATATTTATACTTATGAATCAAAACCAGGCTAAATTTAGGAAAACAGAATATTGCATATGTGTTTTTAATTCAAACAGCACAAAATCAAACAGGCCTCACTGAAGTTGATAATGTTCTTGGTTTGAATGGGCAAAGAGATTTTAATTGTTGTCTTGTTTATTAGAACATTTCTGACTTAAAGATACTATGCAATCACTAAGATTAGTAGGTTACCGAATTTTGAATCATTCCTAAATGTCTTAAAGCTCATATGCTTACATAAATATGTAATAATGTTTACCTTTTGAGACAGGTAGGAAAAAAATTTGAAAACTAGAAAAATGAAAGTACTCTGTTTCTCTTCAGATCATGTACATCTTTTACTTTTTGAAAAATAGAACTAAGTATTTCACATTTTTGAAATTTGGTAATAAATATGCATGCTAAATATTGAAATTTGAACAAAGAAGATTCAAAAGAATAAATTTTTTTAAGTTCTTCACTATAAAATATCATCATGTGTTAAACTTCCTTGATTTGCTTCTTTTGTGTCTCAAATAATTAACACAACCATAGGTACAACTCAAATCATGGCTAGAGGATATTTAAGAGGAAGTATCATCTAAAAGTTAGTAACTGGAAAACTTACGTCTGATTTTAGAGATGTTCCATTACCTTGAGCACTGGTATAGACAAATGAGTTACTCTCCAAAAATGCTTTGATACAGCAGAAGTTTGACAAGGAGAGTTTGTAAAGCATGGCATGACATGGTAACTATCTGCCATCGTACTTAATACTCAAAATCAAAGACTGACAGTATTTCCTTCTCCATTTAACCCTTAACAATTTAACATCCTATTCATAAGTATCTTAAGAAAAATATCTCCTAGAGGGCCAGCCAGATAGCTCAGCAGTTTAAATCAGAGGCAGGGACCTAGGTCCAATCCCCAGCCTGCCGCATTAGCCCTGCCCCCAGTGCAAGCTGATCCCTCAATTGAGACCTTGAGTGGTGGGGCGCACTTGTATTTCCAGCGCTTGGGAGGCTGAAATCAGGAATATCACTATGAGTCCCATCTATGTAGTGAGACCTTGTAGACCCTGTAAACTGTACTAAATACATAAAAGAAAGAAAAAAATATCTTCTGCTCAGGTTTAAAATAATGTTTTCCTTGTGAGTTATATTTTCATTTATTTTTTTGACACAGGGGATTGGGCACAGGGCCTTTACACTGTTATGTTCCTCAGCCTCTTTCTCTCATTCTCCTTAAGCCTGTAAATTGCCGAAGCAGGGTTGAAAATTGCAATCCTGCCTCACTTTAAGAGTTCTGGGATTACAGGAATTTGTCACCATACCTAGCTAATATTTATTTTTTTATTCCACCTTTATGATGATAGTTTCAAAGAAAATTAAGGGTAAGTCTTTAGTACTATCATCTTATACCTGAAATGTTTTATGTTGAACTCCATAAAACATGCTTGCCTGTATCTCATCTGTAGCATAATGTCTTCAAGTTACTTACAGGTACATACACATCCATGCAAAATTAGTATGTGCACATATGTGGGAATAAATATTTTTGATAGGATTTTGTTGATTAATTCTTCTGAAAAGTAAAAAATGAAGTATTCCAGTCTTGTCTTAGCTTGACAACATGATTTTCCAGTATTGGTTCCAAGCTTCTTTTGTGATCATTACTTCTATGAAGTAATTCAACTTGGAAATAATTGCTTGCCAAAACAGAGTTTCTCTGGTGAACTGCTCAACACAGCTTTAGTTTTACAAAGAACACCATTCTTTGTATGCTGTTAATCTTGGCTTAGAAACACCACAATTTATTCTTTCCATTTGAACAGTTCAGCTCCTGTTCTCCTAGTTATACTTTGCAATGCTTAGATTCACTTCTGGAATATAAATGCATGAATCACCTAGTTGGTGACTCTAAAAATAAATTTTCCGAGTACTGATATGGGAAATCTCTGCCCAAGGCAATATTTAGTAGTTGTGAGAAATGTGAGGACTTCCAATTGATTTATAAAGAAAATTCAAACATTTTATTACATGGAGTTTTTGTTAAACTTTTGAGATTAATTTGCTATAATAATGAAACAAAAATTGACATAGAATTTAAATTATTTAAATAAATTAATGCTTTTTGTGACAATATTTTAACAACTTATTCTAATTTTTATTTGCTCTTTCAATCTTATCTCACTTAATCTTTCACTTCTGAAAAGCTATTTGCAAAATGTCCTAATATGAAAAATGCAATGAATAATTTGGGTGTTGAATCCACATCATTTTTTTCCTATTTTTAAGTCAAATTGATTTAAAAATAACTGAAGTGAAATATCATTGAACTAACACAATAAAATGTTGGTTTAGTAAAACAGTCAGCTCATAGACTTTGTGGCCGTTATGGAAAAGGAAACTGAAGTTGCTTTCCTGTTTTATGTTCACAATGAAATATCTTAATGTAGTTTTCCCTTGTCAAATACTAGAAAAATTGTTTCTCCGTGTCTTCCAAATTCAGAAAAACTGGATCATAGATAATTACTTGGAAATACATGTTTATAAAGGTGATTTGCTCAGAATTATTGACAAAAATGAAAACATACTGAAAATATCATACATCAAATTAATGATGCTACTCCATCAAATTACAGAGTAAGACTATTGAAAAGAAAAAATTTGAAAAACTGAGAACATGTTAGAATCCACAACAAATATTCATAGCTGCAAAAGTTTGATAATAAATGCACTAAGGGCTAACAGGTAACTTACAATATTTTCTTCTAAAAAAGATTTTCTTCTTAGCACAAAAAACTGTATTCCTTAAAATTTGAAGGCTCATGAGACAAGTTTTGATATTTTATAATCCTACTGATTTTGTCAATGTAAGAAAGTTGGCACAATCATATATGCCTACATTAATATTTTCGGGAAGATTCTGGTGTATATATATAGGTGAATTCTATGGCATATCTAATTTAAATTGTTCACTGCACATTTATGCACAAGGGACAAGGACAAACTTTGATTTAATATTTGCATTTTCACACAGGAATACACACATCGGCATGTGCACAAGAACTTGCACTGAATAGAATATTTCTTTAATTAAAAGAGAATGGAGGCAAGCATGTTTTATATGCTCTAAAAATGAAAACTGCATAGAAACCAACTTAGTACAGTATATCATTCTTTTGTTACTATTTGTAATTGTGTGATTGTACAGTGAGAAGATAGCTTACACTAAATGTCCTTTATGCGTGCTGTAAAATAGTTAAAAAGCATTTGATGATATTCCTTTTATCATTGATTGCTCATATAACTGAACAGAAAGGATCTGAGACTGAAGTAAAAATTAGATTTGGGGGTCCTGGGATATAGCATAGTGGTAGAATGCTTGTGTGGCATGTACAAGGCCTTGAGTTTAATCTGTAGCACCATAAGAAAAAATTTATGAAAAACATGTAATAATAAGCTGTGCTTTCTACCTCATATATTTTGAAGGAGAATGTCAACTGAAGATGTGTAACAGAGAAGTCTTGGCTGAAGGGCTTATATAGTAGAAAAGACACAAAGACAAACTACATCAGTTAATCCACTTTTATTTTTATTTTTTCCACATAGATAACTTCAAGTCAACTACAAAAATCATGAAATGAAGAACTGATCATGGAACTGCAAAGTCAAAATCATGGGAGTGATAAACACGCTTCCCCCAGATGATTGTTATAAAAAGTAACCAGGATACCATAAATTCATATTTAAGTAATAAACATGTCATATAGTCAAAAATAATAAATATAGAATAGCAATAGAGAAATTAATAGCATAAACAGCATGAAGCATATTTTATTTTTAAGACAGATGAAATTTCTAGGCACAGTTTTAGGCATTAAAGAGGACACAGAGGCATAGGTTAGTATGCACTGCTCTGTACAAAAATACAGTCTGAATAAATTACATTGCTAGCCATACAGTTAAACATCACTTACCAATCGGTTCATTGCATTTTTTAATAATATACAGGTACATGCTAATCCATATATATCATTTATATTTCAAACACATAGGTGTCTCTATATTTATGTCTTTAAAATTTACATGTTGAACTTACAAAAAGCTAAATACTTGTGCAAGAAATCTGAATAACTAGCCCTGCTGAGTACTTTTCTGCCATATATGTATATATATATATTCTCTCTAAAATAAACAAGGAGTTGTGGTTAACAGTTTACAGAAAAAATGTAACAAACTCAAAACTGCAAAAACATGTTAATGTAGGTAAAACTTCACTTGTGTTTATTCTGAAAGACAAAAATAATATTTTTGATGAGCAATAAGTTTCCTGTTGTACTGAGCTTTGTTAGTAATGAAACACTTCCAATTATTAATGATGGTAGAAATGTAACATAGGGCTGGTTCTTCACTGGGGAAAGATATAGAAGAAATCTTCTCAGTAAACTGCAAATATATGTGCCTCAATATATAGTGTTTTCTGTCATTACCTAGCTTGTCATATTGACAGGAAATGAAAACTTGACACAATTATGATATTAGTTCTAATAGCACATCACATCCTCTACTACTATGTCCAAGAAAAGTGCCTAATTGACAACATCACCAAAGTACTGTTCTTTAACTATATAGAAATAAAGAGATCTTCTCACAACAGTGTTTGGTAACCAAAATTCAAATATTTTATTTCTTCTGCTGTTCTTAAAATATGCAATTAACTTCAATTCTGCCCTACATTTTACTAGTCCCTAAGAAGATTGCTTCTAAACATTCTATAATAATAGTATCTTTCTGGAAAAATTCCACTCAAAGTTTCTTATGATTCTTTATAGAATCATATGCTTTTATAAAGTATTCTCTCTAGCATACACATTTGTCTAAAATTACTAAAATAAGAATAAACCTGGTACTTCACATTTATTTTTTGATTCTGTATAAAATTCATCATATAAGTGGATTTTTTGGCATTTGAATAATAAAATAGTTTCACTGGGTGGGGGCTGTTGTTTTTGGCAACTATTTTTAAGACAAGTTAAAAGCAGAACTCTGGGAGGTGAAGCAAATTACTAAATATTCTTGATATGATCTTGCTTGCAATGGATTTGCAATATAATAATAAATGGAAATGTTTTAAGTTTTTTTTGCCAATGCTTCTTTCTGCAAGAGGGTCAAACCATAATAACATTGTTTTAGTGACACTGTTAACAAAAATAATTATTTATAACTTTTATATTAGAATTGTATATTTCTATAAAAATAGGTTTATAATTAAACTATTCAAATTTGTATATTAAACAGAAATAATGTGCTTGCAGTATGAGATTAGCTGCAAACTTATTCATATTATTGATATTTTCTGCCATTGGAATAGTAAGTAAATAATTCCCATAACATAAATTCATCATAATTGTGAATACAAATCAGCCCATCAGTTAATTCCAGAGGACCAGGTGATAACCAAATGAATTCTATTCCTCTACCAAGACATTGAGACATTTATATGAATCTATCACTATCTTTTTAAATGCAGACATTTGAAATACTTGAAGAAATAGCAGCCCTGTACTTTAAAGAATTTTACACAAAGTTATCAACCTAACTGCTGCTTTCATTTGAACTACAGTGCTTAGGGAAGAATCATTCATTTTCACATTAACACCATTTCAATTTTTCTTAGTAGACAATACTATTAATACTTTCCACTGAAACAGTAGAGAACATAGAGCAAATGCTTTAAGGTATATGTACTTTTATATGGTAAATGTATATGAAAACCAATCTAAGTTTCTAAATGAGTACAAGGTTAGTGTTCAAACCACTTCACCAGAGCAAATATTAACTTTATGTGTAATTGGTAAATGCATGTGCAGGGTTAGGGAAAAACTTATTAGCATTTATACTAATGGTTCAACTTCTATAAAAATATTTAAGTTTGTTACATATGCACAGTTGTTTGCTGCAATATTTTGTAAATGATTTAAAGGGTAAAAATGCAACTCATGCATATTTCTTTCTGATTGCCCTAGGAAAAGCAGAGACCCTCAATTTTCTCTTGTTCTTGAAAAGTTTGAGGCACAGTTTCTAACCATGTAAGAAGAGCACATGTCTCCAAGTCTTGACTTCCTTTCAAAGGAGATACTGATTGCCAAAGCCTAGCCTCCAATTAAAAAAATATTCTTGAAAGTGGAATGTGTATCCTTAACCAATTATATTCACAATAACTATAAGATACTGAAAAGCAGTTCACTTTTCAAGAGCTCACTCACTCAATTACCAACAACCAGTATAGTCATTGGGTGGGATAAGCAAATGATGTAGGATTTAGCAGTGGACTCCTTATCATAGCAAGGGAATTTCTAAATGTTGCTTATACTAGTCAATTCCCTGCAGGCAATATGAGATTCAGGAAATTCTCATTCCAACTAGTTTCTTACAATAGTTGCTGTCACACAGACTCTTCACTTGTCAAGAAAAATGACATGAACATATTGGAAGTTTGCAGCATTTGCCTATGTCTAATCAGCTCTCTTAATTTGTGTAGGTCTCTAAAATGGATGAAAAGGCTGGTTATGATATTGACAGCCAAAAGGCAAAAAGATATTAAATCAAATGAGCAAACAACTTAATGCTCCACAAGTGTTTTAGAAAAAAGTTAGAAAAGATGCAGGTGTAATTCTTTTGTTGGATGGTTGCTTTTTCTTTTTCTCTTTTTTTTCTAAATATGAGACTTGGTTTCAGTAGTAGTCTTCATAGTTCTTAGGGTTCAGGCAATAAAGGATGGCACCCCCAAATGAAAATATAGTTGCACCCCAGGCCAGGCCATAACCCCAGTTGAATTCGTGATAAATTTTCAAGCTCACAGTTTCAATGAACTTGATTGGGTAAAGGACAAGGCTGCAAACCTGTAAAACAACTAAAAAAAAAATCAAAATTAGAAAATGTTGCATATATATATATATATATATATATAACTTTTGAATCAAAGACCCAACAAATTTAAGTACTATTAATTTTAGAAAATATACTTTGAAATGTTAACAATATTCTATTTAAACACTTCTTTCTAATGTACTAATAATTATCCTAGTAATAATTAGCAATAATTAATAATGTGATCAGTATTTGATCAAATAATTAGTATACTTTAAAGATAGCAAGTAGTAATTCTCAACTTATAAACAAATGTACAACTATCACTATAACAAATAGTATTAGTTAAGCTAAATTGTTCTACTACACAAAGCCTTAAACAGATCTCTACAGTGATGTTAATGCCAATTTAAATCCCTGTTCTTTATGTGCCACAGGAACTGGGGAATTCAAATTCCTTTCTACTGCTTAAACTGGTTAGTAAGGGATTGAGGATGTGATCTTGTTGTCATTATTGCTTCCCAACCATTTAACTCAACCATATAAGCAAAAAGTGTTGCTATTGTTTTGACCTGGATATGATTAAATCCAGGTCCTTTTGAAGACTAGATAAACATTCTACCACTGAACTGCAACCCAGACCACATGAAATTGCACTGTGATATTTTTGGTTCTATTACTCTGACTCAAAATTACTGTCATTATTTCCCCTTCTTTCAGTCCAGGCCTTTCAACTCAAAATAAAGGCCCTGGAAATCAGTGTGGAAATTTCTCAAAGAATTACAACCAAAAGTTCCATTTGACCCAGTGCTTTTCCCTTCTAGGTATCTATCCAAGAGTTTTGGGCCAGGTATATAGCTCAGTGGCATAGCGCCTTCCAGGCAAGCACAAGGCCCTGAGTTCAATTCTTGATATACATAAAAAGCAAGACATCATATAACAGTTATTGATGCATACCTATACTTATAGCAGCATTATTCATAATAACTAAATGTTAGAAATAGCCTACATGTCCATGTAATGATGAATGTATAAAGTGTGGTATTTATACACAATGGAGTACTACTGTACCATAAAAATGATAAACAAGTTATTTGCCAAAACTAATTACATAGTTTCAGTTAGATGCAAAAGAAAGTGTTTACATATCTATTTTCCACCTTTCAAAAATAATTAACTCTAATGAAGGCATTGGAAATAATGGCAGTGAAAAAACTAGGGTACTAAAAAAAAGCATAGAATACAGTTCTCAGTTTACAGTTAGATCTTGGTTCAGTCAGGACTAAATGAGAAAAGCAATGAGTCATGTTTAATGAAACAAAACAATTAATTAGGAAGGAAAGGAAAGGAAAGAAGGTTTTTTAAAATTATCTAAAATAAGAATGATATACACACTGTGGATATTTTTGCATGGGGACACTGGATTACACAAGAAATGATGTCACTTGTTAAATCTATAACTTCCTATTGGATCTATGATTATATATAGTGTTTCTAATAAAATAAAACTTTTATTTTATCTAAATCAATTGGAGTAACTTTTGGGCTGGATCTGCCTCTTACGCTACAATTCTTTAACCATCAAAAACTAAATAAAGTTGTCAGTAAATTTGTAAATCTGGCATGCTGCTTGCCTTTACATCAAAATGTGTTACTGGAACATAGCCATGCTTATCATTTATGTATTGTGCACATTACAATAGCAGAGCTAAGCAGTGGCAATACAAAGCAAAAATTATTATTATTATTATTATTATTATTATTTTTTTTTTTTTTTTGAGGAAGCAGTGATTGAACTCAGACCTTTGCGCTTACCAGGGAAGTGCTTATTCCACTGAGCCATCTCCCCGGCCCCAAAAAATTATTTTTTGAGCTTCATACAAAAGTAAACAACCAAACTTTAATATTTTTCATTACAATGATTGTTTAGTTCATCTTAAAAATACTGTAAATTACTGAAGCTCAAGAAAATTGTGAATAACTAAGAACAAAAGAACAAATTGTGACATAGTTAAAACACACATCTATAGTTTTGATATAATTTATTAAACTTTTTAAAAAGAACAGTAGGATAGATGGTGACTGGAACTTCATGTTTTAATTAAGATCTGTGGTCATTGATTCTGTGCATCTATAAATGATCATATTTTTAGCATAAAACTGATAAGAAATGGCAAATTCATGAGGGCATGATTCCTCAAGATTGTTATTTTCTAGAAGAATCTGACAATGGAACAAAGGATCTATCTGGAACCAAATAAAAGAATTCCAAATATCTTTTTCATATAGCTCAAAATTTTCCTGGGCCTGCATCTGCCTACCATACTTCCATATGAGTTCTGACAGAGGATAGATAAATAGGCTCACATCAGAAGAAAATCCCACGACATCCAAAATAGAAATCCCACAACTTTTAGCTTAGAAGTCTTAGTACAATTTTGAGATCATTGTTAGGACTTAACTGAGGGATTATGATAAAACCCACATTTCATGTGTTTCTAGCCACTAAGTAATAACCATTGTGTACAAAAAAATTCTAAAATTTCCAGGCATGCTTAAAAAGCAAAAGGTATTTTCATTGGGTTTCTATATTCTGGTTGCTAGTCAAATCATGGATGATCCTTTTAGGATATGATTGAAGAAGGAAAGTTAGATATAGTAACTCATTTACTCATTCAACATATAAATCCAGTGTTTCCATGAATAGTTCGAGGTTTCTAAAGTATATAATTTAAGACATCATTGCTAACAAAAGGAACGACAAGCAGTGTATTAGTAAATAAATGCTGAATATAATGTTAGTTACTACTAACAGCCATAGAAATCTAAGAAAGAAGGACCAGAGGGATAAAGGCTGCTCTTTTAGATCAATAAAGAAAGAGATTCTTCTAGAGAAAAGACATTTGAGCACAGACCTAAATCCAGAATGAAATGCAGGACCAGTAAGCAGTCCAGCTGGAGAACATAGGTGGTGCCCAGCTCCTGACCCAGACACCTGGTACACTGTAGATCAGGAAAGATGCTATGGTTGCAGAAAGTGGAGAGGAAAAGTAAAGCCATAGAGTGTCCAGTAGAGACTGCTCACACACAGCTTTGGGAACTGTAACTAGGAGTCTTGATTTTATTCTAAGGGCGATAAGCAGTTGCTAGAGGATTTTGAGCATAGAAATAATTTGAAATAAGCAGTCTAAATTACATTCTAAAAGAATTACATTGCTTATTTGTGAACTGGCCAGTCGCTGAAGTAAGGTATTTACCTAGGCTGCATTTAATATTCATTTCAATGTGTTTTGTGTAGCAAATATTTGGCTGCCCAGGTATAACTTAATGACATAATTTCCTTACAGTGCAAAAACAACTCTGCCAGGGTCTGGTGGCATATTCTCTTGAAGAGCTTTCTTGTGTCTTTATTGTATTTGTGATAGAAAAAAATTACCCTAAAATGCTTAATACCTCTGAATTTTTACTCTCCAGAATCAAAAAGAAAAATTCATGTAATAGAAAAACTGAAAAAAATAAAAACTTGCTTGGTAAATAATTTTCCCAATTTAATAGTGTACACAGACTTAGGTATAAAAGTATTTAAGGGCCGGCCGAACAGCTCAGCGGATTAAAGCATCTGCTTAGGTAGATGCAGTGATCAGAAGTTTGCTTCCAAGCCTGCCATGCAGGCCCCATGCCCAGGGGCTGCTGAGATGGTGATTGAGACTGGGCGTGGTGGTATGTGCCTGTAATGCCAGCTCTTGGGAAGCTGAACACAGGCGGATCACTATGAGTCTGATCTACTCAATGAGACTATGTAGACCCTTAAAAAAAAAAAAAAAGTATTTCTTCGCCCTTCATAAATTCTGCAAAGAGGAGGGGAACTAGAGGTTAAATGTCAAGAAAATGCCATCATATTATATTTCTATTTTACTATCAATCAATGAAATACAATGGAAACTGGCAGTGCTAGTTCTTATGCTATTAGACATGCATAAGTAAAGTTATGGTGCATTTCAGAATTTGAAAATACATGGGAGTTCATTTCATGGTCCTCACATTTTTCAAAAACAGGCAAACATAATTAAGAAATCTATGGATAGAAGCATGATAGGAACTTAAAAGATATTAACTCTTATTTATTTGTCTATGTTAAGGGGAATTTTTTCATATTAAATTATTGAAAACATTCAATATTGCAATATTCAATACTTTTCATAAGAAAATATTTTAACATTTCAACAAATATTTATTGGGAGTCAGTTGTGTTTTACAAGAGGATAGATGGTGGTAAAGTTCCACAGATAATTATAAATCCATATTTGTTCAACAGCAAAAGTAAACACATTTCTTTATAATCAATTCAAAATACATTTATCGAAATTCAATGATATATCAAAAACTAATCCTTCTTAAAGAAAGAAAGGTAGTTGCAGAAAAAAACAATGTCTGTGTTGGTTTTTGAAAAATGGTTAGAAGAGAAAGACGGAAAGATCTTTAAGAATAGCCAGCAATTTATATAGAGATTGGAGGTATGAGGGTATCCTTATAGGAAACTAACATGGGTGGAATGAAGGGTAAATGCATAGAGATGTTTGACTAAGACTATAAAATACTTTTATGTGTCATAAAATATTAGAATTTTTTGTTTCTCTACAGACAACTGAGATGCTCTTCTAAGAGTAGATGCTACTGTTGTCTATTCATAAAAACTCATAACCACTTCAGCACATGATAACCTGACTTGTCATTGTTTCTAAAGGATTTTGTTCCCTGAGTTTCTCTGGCCACTCAAACTACTATATCTGTCTTTGGAGCAGACCAAAAGTTCTGGAATATTTACAGTGCTGTCCCTCAGTCACAATCAGTGACCCTTATCAATGAATGATTCCTAATAGTGGTGTTTTAAACACTTCAGTCATCTAGTCCTTCAAATGAGGTAACTTTGTAGTATGTGTTCCAGACTTTTCCCAGAGTTTCTCCAGGAAAACAAAATTCCAGCTCTTTCTATTTTCTAGTCCAAAAGTCCCCTTCATTGACTGCCTTTGCAACCCTATTTCA